GGCCATTGCTGTGGGGCTAAAAGGGTGTTCCTGAGCTACCTGAGCATTGTGACTCAGTGACTGAGTTCTCAGGTATCATAAGAATTTATGGGAATGGTTTATAGCATAACAAATTCCTTTACTTAGGAACCCTTTGAAAGAGTTCTTTGCCTGTTTACAGTTCTGGTGCAAAGCCTGGATGTCTCTGAGCGTATCAGAGCCGTAATTAAACTTGCTCTGAGCTGTTCATCACTCCCTGGGCCAGGCTGTGTGTGCATTTTACCTTTGCCAGCTTGACAGGTCTGTTGCTGTAGCTGCCTGTCAGCAGCCACAACATCTGCTTCCCTCTTTCCTTAGGCCCTTCTCTTCTAGGGAGGGGAATTTCTCCCAGGCCTGTGTAACTGGAGGGTGAGCACTGACTGTGCTGGTGTTCTGAAATGCCCTGGCACTCCCTGGCCCTGCCAAACCTCCCTTCTGTTTTGTCTTTCAGCCTGACATGAGCAGCGGTGGCTCCGACTTCCCAGAAGGCTCCTAAGGAGTGAAGTGTTGAGCTGCACTTTGGATCGTGGACATCCAGACCTTCTGATGATAGTTCTGCAGGTCTGACCCAAGGAAGAGGCTGCAAAATCAACTTTTTGTAGTGTTTTGTAAACTTAAGTATTGACAAATAACATGCATAAGATATGAATAAGGAATGCTCTCTGTCCCTTTGCTGCTGATCTCAAGTTCTTCGGCTCTGCTTTCTGATGTTGTGGTGCTGACTGAGCCCCTCAGATTACCCCCAGTATTTACTCTTGTGGCTCTTGGATGTTGATCACTAGAGATTGTTTTGCCTTAAGTCTTGCACCAGTGTCCTGCAGCACAGCAGTTTGTTTTGGCACTACATTCACTGCCCTCTCTTTCCACACAGCTGCTTTGAGTGGTGTTCTGCTGTAGGTAGACATAAGAACCCCTTGGATGTCCAGTACCAACAGTAGAGGAGTTTACTTGCCACAAAATAATCCAAAAGGCATCACCTGCTCTTTTGCCCTGAACTGTTCCCGTGGGAATGGTGATTCTGAAGTGACCAGCATGGATAAAACCTGGAGTTTGTCAATCCAAGGGCTTTTAACAGCAACAGTGTGGGAGTGCCTGGAGCAGAGTTTGATCTGGGGTCACCTGTACTGCTCCTGAGGCACCTGCAGGAGAGAGCCCTAAGGGTACACTATGGCCAGTGGGCCTTACTTGTCCTGCAGGAGTTCACCTCCTGCACTGGGAAACTCTTGGAAGTCACCAAATCCCAGTTTTGCATTTGAACCACCTCATCTGGAGTCCAAGGTTCAGTAACACGGTTCTGAGCAGTCACTGGAGTCAGAGGGTACAGATTTGGGAGCTTCCCCCTGAAGAGCTCTGCCCGTGCCCAGGAGTGAGGATGGAAGGGAACTGTGGGTGCTGCTTTTGGGTGGAAGCAGTAATTGCCTTCCAAACAGCTCTCACTGATCTCTCGTTTCAGTTGCTGTTCTGCTTGCCCATCCAGGATGCACTGAGGGCACAGAAGTGCCTCCATTTCCCTTGCTGAGGGTAAGAGGACGCTCTCCCTTGTTCCCTCACAGCTGGATTGCTCTCAGCTGGGTTCCCCTGAGGAGTGCTGGCCTGAGGGCTGTGTGGGCTGAGCTCTTTTCGGCCCTGGCGCTTTGGGCTTTGCAAAAAATTAGGGAAACTTCCGTTTCTGTTCTACTGTCTGGATGTTTAGGGAACGCTTTGTACGTTTTAGTTGATTAAAGGCTGCTCCTTAATCTGTTAAATAAAGATTGCCATGGCCTCTTATCACAGCAGCCCTGCCCTTTGATACTGAGCACCACCTTTCTAGCACTGACTCCAGGTCTCCTCCTCTCAGCCTGTGTCAGTGTTCAGAGTGAGGAGCTGCTTCCCTTTGGTCCCCTCACAGTGCTCAGCTCCTGGGTGGACCTGGCAGGATTCTGCCTGTTCCCATCGATGCTGGCCTGTGTTCATCTCCCGGGAAACGAGGGAGGCTGGAATTTTCCCTTGCAACTCCTGTCGCTGCTCTTCCCTCATTCCTGTTTCCAGGCAGGAATCCTGGCTTGCACTGGTGACCTTGATCTGTGTTAGGTCTTAAAGACTGTTTGGAGGTAAAGGAGAAAAATAATCCACTCCCTGTGTAATCCAAATCCTTAAGTGGGAAAGATGGTGCAGTGCTGGGGGTTGTGATATGCCCAGGGGTCAGGGCAGGGCATTGATAACCTGGGGTGACACCTCTGGGAGCTTGGGAAGTAGAGGGTGGCAAACATGGTACCTGTTCTAAACGTGGGCTTGTGGGAATTCTGATCTGCTGAGATGGACCTGTGTACTAGAAAAATGAACTGTAATAAAGAATGGATTTAGAAACATGGATCATGAGAGAGGATAAATGTGGTGTTTGAATGGCAAGTCGTGTCTCAAAAGATGTGTGCAATTCTTTAAAGAAAGTCCACAGGGATATGGAGAAGGTCTGTTGGACTGCACTGGCAGGTTTTTGTGCCAAAGGTTTTTAGGACCATGGGTGTGAGTGAGTCATGGAACGAGATTACTAATTATAAGTTAGGAATAACTAATCTATTTTAGTGGAGGACCAATTTTTCTGACTGTAGTTATCCCGTATACCAGCAAATTTCCAGCTTACCTGGGAAAATAAGCCTTAATGGTGATGAAATTATTCGAAGTAGTCAAAAACTGGAGGAAAACCAAATAGGGTGTTGAGTGCAGTGCAGTGAGTGTGTGCAGGTGGCTGCTTTCAGGTCCCACTGTGCCAGGATCCCTGGGCTGGACAAATGGCCCTGGGGCTGGACAAATACAGGCTGGGATCACAGGAACACACCTACAACAGCCTCTTGCTCCTGAGACTTGAATTAGCTCTGCTGTTCCCTGCTCCCCTGTGGGGACAACGTGTCCTGGTGCTGCAGCTCGGGACAGGAGCTGGATCAGGGAGGGACTTGGCCAAGGTGATGGGCAGCAGTGAGTCCACCCTCCACTGATCAGCTGCTGCAGCAGAACAGGGGATCCCAGCACAGAGCTCAGCTGTGGCAACACTGAGGAACTGTCCCTTACACAAATACGGATGTTTGTGCCCTGATCCAGGTCACCCCAGGACTGCCCAGGGACTGATCCTGGCAAAACAGAGATGACAGTGGTGTGAGTGGGGTTGTACTGTGGGAAGAGGGTCAGCTGCTCACCCCCTTGCCCCAGGTGCCACCACCTGTACCTGCAGGGGGCTGTTCCCACCCCCAAACACCTCCAGGAATACCCCAGGCCCTGGAAACTCAGGGCTGTGCCCCAGGAGGCAGGTACAGAGCAGGCAGCAAAGCCTTGGTGTTTCTGTGGCTCTGAGCAGCAGCAGCTCCAGCCAGGCTGGGTTTTGGCAGCACAGCTTGCCTTGCTGAGCGGGGCCTGGCACCCTGAGGCACACACAGCTGTCTCAGGACACGGCTCAGCTTGTGCCCACCCGGGCACTTTGCTGCCTGAACAGCCTGTTCCTTGGACAGGCCAAAAATCTGCCTTCGGGCAGGAGGCGAAGAACATAAACAAACCCACGCAACGCTCTCGCTTGTAAATTCTTTTTGTTTGTTTGTTTGTTTGATTTTTTTTTTTTTTTTTTTTTAATGATGGCTGTTGGAAGTTGCTCAAAGGTTTGGGCTGTGCCAGCCCCAGAGAGATGGCAGCGTACAGATGAGACCGAGGTGGCTGTGGAGTCCGTGGTGTGCGTCCTACCACACCTCTAGTACACAGAGCAACACGGAGTAGCGTGGGGGTGTCTGATTAGAGCTCCGATTTCCTTTGGTCCTTTGCACTCCTTCACCCATCATGAGACGTTAGCACAGGTTTCACTACAACTCGAAGTTTCTCATCTACTTGCTTCTCACTTATTTTGTAATATGTTGGTAATATTTTATGTTTAAACACAATAAACAGCTTGGCTATGGAAATCAGTTATGGAGGACAAAATACAGTTTGAGACCACGCGTTATGCAGTCCTAGTGGGCTTCACCAGACGTATCTACGTGTCTATCCTGCTTCACCAGAGCAATATTCGAGCACTAATTAGCAATCCAGAACGCTAACAATCTCTCTGCTGCTTCATTCCTCACTGTAGTTAGGAATAGTTTTAGCATGTTTGCCGTCCCGTGGGGTTTGTTTCAGAGCTGACATTATAAAGCTGTACTTATTCTATACTAACTGGACATTCTGTGCATTGCACTTCATTTGCACTGAATAAAATTCAGTTATAGGCAGAGGGCTTAGGCTAACCCCGTGATTGTCATGGAATCATGGAATCACGGTGAGCGTGCAAAGCAGTTCCTGTGCTGACACGGATGGCACTTCTGTGCAGGGCTGGCCTTTGCCACGACACTGCACAGCAAGAGGCTCTTCCACTCTTACTCAACATGGTAGAAACATCAGCATTGACAGGAAAATCAAAAGTTTGTGGTTAGGACAGAACATCCTGAACCGCTCATGACTTTAAGAGGGACAAGCAGAAGCGACTGTTGTAGGAAGAGACTCGTGGAAACTCACTAGCTGGAAGTTAAGGTATTTTTCTAGCCTTTACCTGATTTTTATGGCTCTGTCAAACGTGGCTAGTGATGAACTCATTCTACTGTGTGGCATGCTCCCTTTGGTCCTTGCCAAATATTTGCCTGTGAAGAAGTGAGCAAAACAAAAAAAAACCCCAAATTTCGAAGGCATACAATGTTTGTAACAGCTACAGGGCTTGGATTTAGTTTTATAAACAGGCCTAATTCTTACTGTACCTTGACTATTTCAGCAAAATATAATGACAACCTCACTCCAAACAAACATTTCCATTCTCCTGAAACCCAACGTACAAATTCCACAATCTAGTTACACATGCCACAGAACAACAACTCATCTTTTCCCGGTGTCTTAACAGGGGCAGAGTGCAGTCTAAGTCTACACATATTCCTGGTATTTCAGTACCCGTTGGTTCATTGGTTCTTGCTGCCGGGAGCTTAAACCAACTTATATGACATTTAAATATTTCTTTCATGAGTGGCTCCCAAAACAAAAACATGTATTCCTATGATTGGTTTGTGGTTTGTTTTTTTGTTTTGTTTTTTTTTTTTAACCCAATTACTTTTGTCTTCAGATTGTCCCAGTCTAGGGTTTGATGTTGCCAAGTGTCTGGTTTGGTGCTTCTTGAGCTTCTGCTCCGCACTCCGGTACCTCTTTGAGTGCTCGGTGGTTCCTTGTGCACTGTGCTGAGTGGCAGCGTTGATTAGTTATGAATGTACAAAACATCTGACCAGCAGGTATTGGAAAATCGTTATCCAGGTAGATCCCTGGATTTTGTAATAAACTAAGAAGATCTTTTAGAATGGTTCAGCATCAGAATGTCTTCCGCTTATGACACTGAATTGTTCCCGTTCATAGATTTCATGATCTTAATTCATTTATGAGACAGCTATTAAAAAAATGGTTCTGTTCAGAGGTGGTTTAGCTACACTGGAGAATGCTGGGTTTAACAGGGGGCACTGGTGCAGGGAACTGAATGAAGTTTCCCAGATCAGTTGAAACCTGTCTCGAAGACTCTGGTGCTGGCAGAGCGAGCCTGTGGATGCACCGCGACCGCCAGGCGACCGAGGCAGCACGAAGGAAAGAGGCTCCACGCTGCGAGGCTGCCTGCCCGTATCGTTTTCCAGTTTTCCTGCTTATTTCGGTCCCAGGCTGTCCAAAACTTGTAGGTCACTGAAGTAGTTTTGTTTGGTAGGCTTTTCAATGCATTTTTTTCCCTTTTTTTTTTGCGTGTCCACAGTCCCCATCAGCTCCACGAGGCGCAGTGTGCAGCGGGCTGTGTCATACCCACTCCTGCACAGGTCTTTTGTAGTACACAACGTTTTGCTGCACCTCTTTGTTTTTGAACTGGAAGATTGTGTAGACCAGGACGAGGATGCAGAGGGACAGGATGCAGGGGATCACCACAGCGATGGCGTTGACGGTGCTGGGCACGTCGTTGATGGTCACCATGATGTCCACGTCGTCGTGCGGGAGCCGCCGGTCTTTGCTCCGTTCAACATCCTTCTGGTTGCAGCCCATCCAGTCCTTCAGGATGGACCTGGGGTAGCCTGGCTCCACGCTCAGCCTCTGGTTATCGAACTTCCAGTACTCCTTCCCTTTGTAAAAGTAGGTGTAAACTAGGAGACAAAACAGAGAGTATTTTCCATCGTTTCCAGGTTGGGTTGTGCTTGTGTGAGGATGAACAGCGGGAGGTGGGCACTGCCTGGGTCAATAAAATACATTTATCCAGGGCATTCCCAAACCATTGGAAAGTGAAGGGGGGTTTGGAGCTGAGATTTAAAGGAGAAGCCGTAACCATGGCTTGTGTGTTCAACATTTCCCATGGAACACCATTCCCCTGACCAAGACAACCAGGGAATTAAAAAAAAACAAACCCTACTAACTTTAAAGAAGTGTGCTGCAGTGAGTTACTTTTTACTAAAGCATCTGTAAATGTGTGCTTGTCATTACCAAGTAAATAACAACATCTCAGAGTGCCAGTGTGTGCCTGGGTGTGTTTGGAAGAACATTTCAGGTTTCTATTCCCCCAGCCTCAGGGAGCAGATGCTGAGTAAGACGACTCCTTCTGGCCACAAAATCCAGAATATTTGGCCAGTGTTGAGGACCAGTCCTGTCCTGCTGCTAATAAAAGGGTGATGCTTTATGCTATGTGTTGTCTGAATTGCCCCCTCTCCCCAGACTCCTTTTCTAGTGACTCTCAAATGATTAGAAAAAAAATAAAGAAAACAGGAGAAGGGAGCTGTGGCGAAAGTGTTGGGGCTCCTGCACTGTCCCCCAGCTCGGCTGGCTCTCACTGCCATCCTCCAGCCTGGCCCAGCCTTACAGCCCTGCTCTCACACCACAGCCCCAAATTTAAACAGCCTCAATGGCACAAGCCCCCTCTGTTAGCTCTTCCCCTAACTGGAAGAAGAGGAAGAAATCTTCAAATTAGAGAAAGAAATGTGTTGGAAGGAGCCTCTGGAGGTCCAAGCCCCTACTGGGAGCATAACTTTGATGCTCACTGCCAACATCAGGCAGGCTGGAGCCTGTCACAGAGAGCACGAGCCAGGTGCAGGTGAGAAATCAGGAGGGAATGCAGGTTACACCACCCTCACAACCAGGGCCCAGGAAAACCTGGGTAGGGGCTGTTGTGGCAGAAAAAGTCCCATTCCTCCATGGCAATGTGATAATGTGGTTTAACAGCCAAGGATGTGCACGGGTTGGGATGAGGGTCAGGAAACACCTCGGAGTGCTGCTGCTCACAGGGCCCAGGGGACCCCAGGGCTTCTGAGACTCGTGTGCTGTATCAGGAAATACTTGAAACAGCCCACACTCAACACCCCAGCTGCCAGCACAAGCTGCTACTGATCTAACAGGTAATGATGCAGATACATACAGCCTTCCTTGCTGATGAAAGCTCCCTGAGGAGCCTGAGGGATTCCTCTCCACACGGTGATGGGCTTTGGGTATCCTGGGTCCGTGGCTCTCTTGTCCTCGTTGTACCTCCAGTACCTGTCTCCTTTGAAGAAGTAGGTTTTGCCCACGGGCTCCCAGCGCAGGGCCGTGTCGATGCCCTCCCGGGGCAGGCAGTTCCCCAGCTCCACCAGGCTGTGGGGGTAGCCTGGCTCTGCTGTCACTTCCTTAAAAACCCAGTACTTATCTCCTAGAGATCAGGGGGGGACACAAGCAACAGACAGATTTGCCCGGTTAGGAGTTGAATCGATACAAACATTAAACAGCCACAGAACCACAGCATGCTGAGGGCTTCCAGGCTGAACTGTAATCTGTGAAAAAGCTGCTCCTCCACTTCCTTTTGAACCTGAAACCTGATTTCATTCGCTGCTCCTCAACTCTTGTTTCAGAAGAAATGCTGAACAACCCTTTTCCATTTACCTTCTCATGCCAGTCATGATTTCAAAGACTGCTCTCATCCCCTGTCTGCCATCCCCTCACTCAGGCTGAGGTGTTCCTTCCAGGTCAGCCCAAACTTTTCAATCATTTCTGTTGCCTTTCCCTGAGCCTTCTCAAGTTTTAATACAGTTTAGTGAGCTGAGGTGCCGAAACTGCAGACACGAACTGAGAAGCCCAGGTACTGTGGTTTCCTACCAGCAGTGCTGATGTTTTCCAGCCACTGTTCCTTGCTCACAACTTGCTCTCGAGTTACAGGATCCTGTTCAGACCCTGTCACAGTGCTGGGGCTAAAGAAGGGCCCCAGCACAAGGTGGTCATTTTGTCTGTTTAGGAGACAACTGTCCAGAAATGTGATTTGGGAGCACCCTGTACCTGGAGAGGCCCCAGTGCTCTGCTGAAATGTGTTCAAGGAGACAGGCAGGAGACTGACACTCCCTGGGAAACAGGATCTGTTTCTTGCCATCACATGAAAGCCAACTTCCCTTAATTGATATTAGCTCTACACAGAGATTGTCCTGGCACGGCCAGCCCACACTAAACTATATTTTAAGGATTAGTGGCTGCTTGAAGTGCCCCCTTGGAAAAGGCCAAGGGTGCGGTGTCCCTGTTTTCACCATCTTCAAGCCACCGAAGCAGCGTGTGGGGCGAGGCAGGAGGGGTTGGCTGGTCCTGAGCTCTACTGTACCTTTGAAGAAAACAAATTTGCCATCAGAGCGCTCGTAGGCCGCGTCGATCTTGGCGGGGAGGCCCTTCCAGAACTGCTCGATCTGCATGGGGTACCCCTCCTGCACGCGGTTGTTGCGCAGCCGCCAGAACCAGCGATCCTGGGGAAACCAGAAGCCTCTTCAGAAGGAGCATTTTCATCTTGCTGGGCATCCAGCACCCCTAATCCCTGCCCAGGCCCCATTACAGACAGACTTCCTGCGGCAGCTCCAACCCAGCCCTGTCTCCAGAGAGCGAAGTGCCCCGTGGGGGGGATGGCAGCCCAAAAAGCCAGGAGTTGGTTGCTGGTGCTGTGAGAAGAGGGTGGAAAAAAGAGGGAAAAGGAGCAGGGGGAAGTGACTCCAAAGTTATAAGCATTGTGACCCTTGCATGTCCTGTCACCGAGGTGTCACACTTGTCCTGGTGCAGGTGGTGCTCAGCTCTCTGAGCCCAGGGCAGCCTGAACAGTACCTGGTGAGTGTGTGAAACACAGAAGGTCTAAAGGCACAAAGCAGTTACTAAATATCCCTTCAGATATGAGATCATTACTTAAAGCTGCAGTGGATGCTTTAACAAGCAGGACAGAACCTGTGAGACTTCTCCCAGGTACTATCCCAGCCTTCAGCTAATTTCAGTTCAGGAATTTTCTGCAACTGATGCGGTTTGTCCATTTAATGACCTTCAATATATCCCTCTCCACATTCATACCCACTGGACACAGTGAAAGCTACTGGTATTTTGGGAATGGGACCATGGATGTCCACATTCAGGGCACTCTAACAGGTTCATGAGCAAAGCCTCTCCTTCCTCCCCAGCTGTAGTTTACAAGTAAAGCTGACCCAAACTGCCCAGGAGCTTGAGGCAGGCTGAGCACTCCCTGGACAAAGCTCATCCCCACAGCAAGGCCTGGATCCATGCAGGGCACCTGGATCCATGCAGGGCACCTTCAAGACAACGAGGCTTGCTGCCCAGAGAAGCTGTGGCTGTCCCACCCCTGGAAGTGTTCCAGGACAGCTGGGATGGGGCTTGGAGCAACCTGATCCGTTTGAAGGTGTCCCTGCCCGTAGCAGAAGGTGGAATGAGATGGTCTGTAAGGCCCCTCCCAGCCCAAACCGCTCCAAGGTTCTGTGATTAACTGTGGGTAGGTACTGGTGTTGCTTTATGGCTTTACAGGTGGCTCCTCTCAGGCTGGATGGTGCCTGAATTCTCTACCAATGCACCCAGTTCACATTTTGAACAGCTGGTGGTTTAAGGGTGGATTGAGCTGGTCTTGAGGTGGATTTTTAAAGTGGTCTGTGAGTGCACTGAGATGGGTCTGAGGTGGATCGAGCTGGTTTTTCAGATGGATTGAGCTGGTTTGAGGTGGATTTTTGAGGTGGTCTGTGGATGGATTGAGCTGGTTTGGAGGTGGTCTGCAGGTGGATTGAGGGTGGGCACAGGAGGTGCTGGCGGCTTTCCCTGGGCAATTTCCACAATTCCACAGCGTCACTTGAGCGAGGCTGCCCAGGCATTTTGTGAATCCCATCAGGCACAGATTCCCAATATTACAGAGCCAAACTGCCTACATTTGCTTCTAATATTGCTCATTCATCAGCCTCAGAGGAACAGAGCCATTTTCACAGACATTTCAAATCTCCCTACCAAACACTCCTATTAACCTTTTCCAGCGATAAAATTAAAGGATGACTCACGGGTAAGTTTACAGTTACCTTGAAAACAAACATTTCTCCTCTAAAGAGAGCCACAGTGTTGAAGTTGCCATCGCAGATGTTCGGTTTGGAGCCAGGGAGAGCTGGCCTGTCACCCAGAGGAGGGCTGGGGGGTCGTGGCTGTCTCTCGTGTTTCCTTTCCGAAGTCGAGTGAATTCTGCGAACAGGAAGAGTTGGTAAAGGCCTGGTTGGCTCCAGGGGCTCAATGGGAGGACCTAGAAGTGAAAAGGAAAATATTCAGCCAAGTGGACCAGCTGGGCTTTTCTGTGCTTCCCTTGTAAGCTTTAAAAAGGCACCAGGGTGGCTGGATAGCACTGCCAGGGATTTGCACACTCCTGATGCAGAGCTCGTTCCCTAGAAATGGGGAGCAGAACGAGATGCATCCACACGGGAAAGATGTCCCAAAACAGATGACAAAACAGGACAAGAACTGAAGAAGAGACAGAATGATTTTGTAGGTCTTCCCAAGGAGGCTGGAGCTAAAAGGAAGGAGGAGCCACACCAAGTCATGTTCCCAGCTGAAATAAAAGGTGATAAGCCTTGAAAGGAAATGTTTAGTAAACCATAAAAAAGGTACCAAGAACCCCCCCCCCAAACCCAATGCAAAACCAGAAAACCAATGCTACACTGAAGGGGAACCACAGGGAGTTCAGAAATTAGAGAGCAATTACTTTATCACAGTTCAGTCACCAATCGGTGCTTTCAGAGCTCCCTGACACACAGCTGTGACAAGGACCTTGCTCTCACTGAAGTGATGCCCTCCCAGCACAGATCTCCCTTTCAATCCTTCCCCAGCTGAGCTCTGGATTTTAAAGGCTGCAGGAATGGACAGAGCTATAAAAATACAAGTGGGTTAGACTGGAGCAGAGCTCTGCTCTTAAACTGCCTCTGCCAGAGGACAATTTCATTAACAGTGGTAAAGTCAGGGCCAAATCTCATTCAGAGAGTCACCGATTTCTTGCTGCTTCTCAGAGAAGGCCACAAGTTAATATGGCAGTAAACAGAAGCCAGGGTGAGTTTTGGTGAGTTTTATATCTGAGGATTGTTTATTTGCAGGGATTGTGGTTTCAACCTCATTCCGACCCTGCAGGACAAACCCCCAGCTGCGGGTGGAACTGGGGCTGGCTGGCACAGCTGCTGTTTCAGAGCCAGTCTGGGGGTTCAGCACAGCCCAGCTGGGATCACTGCACACCTGCCCTGGACAAAGCTCATCCCCACAGCAAGGCTTACCCCAAGGCAGGTGATTGCTCATAGCCAGGGAAGGGATTTATGAGGAAGGACTGAGATACCCATGGAGGCCACACACCCGTGGGGTTAGAGGAGGACTTCTGTACATGAACATTTTTAACTGTGCAGCCCCAAAGGATGGTCAGGTGCCCAAGTCCTCATGGTAACTTAGTTCTTAAACATCCCATTCTCAAAGGGTTCCTGGAACGAATGAGTTGCTTAACACGTCCTGGAAGGTGACTGGGTTAGTGAAAATCCTCACAGCCAGTGACAAAGAACTCATCAGAGAAAGCCATTCTATAAATTGCTAATAAGGATGTAACAGTAAGAATCTTGTGTGTGGGTTTCACGGATTTAATGTTCAGAGAGTACCCCTTGGATGATACAGTCCCACTTTCTGCAGTGCCAGGCCAGGAACCTTCACCTGTGATTCCTGCAACGAGCCCATCTGCATTCGTGCATCTCCATTCCTGCATCTTGTTTCTGAGCACAGATACAGCACATTTTCCAAATTTCAAGTGCAGAAAATCCTTTATAATGCACAGCAAACTGTGCTAATGATTAACCCCTGTCATTGCTAAAGTCTGTGCCTTACCCTTTGCCTCAGTTTGTGCAGCTTTAGCTTCAGTGTTTTCTTTCTTATCTCTAGTGGCTCAACATTTAATCATTTATAGACCTTCATGGGGATGCTTTTAACATTCTCCTTAATGAGAATTGCTATTTATAGAGCAGTTCCTTTGGTCTGTTGCTGCAATGGCTTTTGGTTCTAAGATCTTGAGACAGACCTCTTTTCTAAAGCTTTTCTAATGGACCTTTAGATTTCTTCAAGGTAACTTGTCCTCATAGTGTGGTATTTTGTGCCATGTGCAATTTTGATTAGCAACTGTTTTCATTTACTTTATTCCAGAGCTTTAATAAAAGACATCAAATATTGCTTTAGATGAGGATTCTCAGTTAATAATTACCCTTGGGAAGATGTCTACATGAAATGAATAAAAATGTTATACTGTGTATTGTTCATCCTTTCCATTCTTAGCTGACCAGTGCCCATTCCGTAACTTGGAAGACCATAAAATTCCCAAACTCTGATATTGCTACTGCTAATGATCCGGGCATTTTCCCCAAGTGGGGGTGCACCAGAGGAGGTGCTTTTGGAGAAATGCCCTGTCCTTACATTCTTTCTCTCCTCTACACATTATCTCAGAATTTATCTCCAGTATTTTCCCAAACTGTCTCCATTACTGATTACCTAAGTTCACCTCAATATTTTCATTCTCTCTGCTACAGATTTAACTCCAAAATTTTCCCTACCTGTCCACTACAGGTTGCCTCTGTTTACCTTAAAATATTCATTCTCTCCCCTAGAGGTCATCTCAGATTTTAGCTCCAATGTTTTCCCACCATGTCCACTGATGTTTGACTCATTTTTACCTCAGAATGTCTCTCCAGAGACATTTGTATACATTTATCTCTAGATGTGCTCATACTATTCTTGTTTGCTCCCACAGCTGGATGCCTGGTGCATCTGCAAAGCTCCTGGATGCAGGACTGAGCTGGTACAGTGGGCCAAGCTGCAGAGGAAAGGCTGGGAATGGGGAAGGAGGTCCCAGACAGACCTTGCACAAAGCCAGCCAGGGTTCTGGGTTGTTCAGATGGGAGGAGGGACCAGCATTCAGCTCCTGCTTTGGGGCACCAAAGGAGCAGGAAGTCAGCAACCTGTTCTGGCTGCCAAATATTGGTGCCAGTGACAGTAACTGAGTAAATGAAGTCTGAAAGCCAACAATTTACAGGCTTGGTGAAGACAGGAAACTCTTGCATTTTGTTCCCTCCCCTTTGCAAAAGACCAACGCTGCTGTGCACTGACCAAACCTGAGATGCATTTCTGTTGCCACAGGTGGCTGAGAAAAGCCTGTGTGGTGGTCAGTTTAACTGATACAGAGGAACAATTTCATCAGGCAGCTATTTGTTAGCTTGCAGAACACTGCCACCAGCTCCAGCACTGATCCCTGTGTGGTGGGAGGCAGCAGGTTCACAGCAGGGTTTGTAAGGAGGACTCCAAGGGCCCTGCTGCCCTAGAGCAGGGAAAGCTGTGCACTCTGCAGCGCTGAGAGGCACCTCTCTGTCCAAGGAACTGTCTGGGAGGGATCCAAGAAGTCACTGTACTCAAACTGCTCGCTGGAGAGGCACAGAGTTCCAAAGGGAGGGAAGCTGGGGTGGTTCTGCTTCTCAGGCACAGCAAACAGATGGAGATGCTCGAATCAGTGGCAGTTCTGGACTTCCAAAAATAACAAGCCAAAAAACTCCCCAATTTGAGAGGAGAAGAGAGCAAGAATAGAGTTTTACAGAGATGACCATGAGCAGTAAGATGGAGACATGGCATTAATCCTTTCTCCCTCTATTGTAAAGAAAAAGGGTTGAGACAGGAGTGGCAGCTAAAGAAAATTGATGAAGTGAGGCCCACTCGTGTTCCCAGTCACAGCCTGCCCTGCCCTGCTGCAGGACAGCAGTGCTGCACAGCTCTCACATTCATCTTCAGTGCCCAAAGCCCATCAGAGCCTCCTGTAGAAAAGGGGAAGGTTCAAAGATCACCTGCCATCCAGGGGACCAGTGTAAAGGTTTTAATTAGCTCCAAGACGCCACTGACACAGCACACAGAGAGCTGCCAAGCAGCAGCAGTGGTCAGGATGGTGCCCAGCAGCAGGGATTCCCAGGAACCAGGGCTGTGCATTGATGGAAACATTTGACAGAGCAGTGGGGAGATCCCACGTCAGGCCCAGCAAGGGACACACTGTACGTACTCACTGCTGGCCATGCCCGGACCAGCCCTGGCAAACCTGCTCTGAAGGAGGGGCCTGGCCCTGGCACAGCTTCCCACACACACTGCAGGTGCTCTGCCACGTGCCTGGATGCAGACTTTGTCATTTCACTCCAAGTATTTAATTTCCTGCTCTGCACTGGGGCGGCCTCACCTTGAATCCTGGGGCAGTTTGGGGGGACACAGGATAAGGAAGATGTTCAGCCATCAGGGAGTGTCCAAAGGAGGCAACGGAGATGGGGAAGGGCCTGGATTTGAAGCCGTGAGAGGACACTGAGGGCACTTGGTGTGTTCAGCTGGAGAAGAGGAGACTGAGGGACAGCCCCCAGGGAATGGCTGGAGCTGTGTCAGGGCAGGCTCAGGGTGGATCTCAGGGAAAGGTTCTTCCCCCAGAGGGTGGTTGGCACTGAACAGGCTCCCCAGGGCAGTGGGCCCGGCCCCAAGGCTGCCAGAGCTGCAGGAGGGTTTGGATGATCCTCTGGGGCACAGGGGGTGACCCTTGGGGATGGTCCTGTGCAGGGCCAGGGGTTGGACTGGATGGTCCTTGTGGGTCCCTTCCAACTCAGCATATTTTGTGATTCTGTAAAATATTCCTCTTACTATATGTCCCTGCCAGCCATGGATGTTTCCTGGCTATACTTTGCTTCTTTTCTTGTTTTTATGTGTTCTGGGCCCCTAATTTACTCTGATTAAAGGCTTGTCTCCTCTCGTGCTTACACATGAGAGGATTAAATGCTTATACATTTTTAGTTGCTCCCTTCACTTTGTCACTGAGTGTGGCTAAAGGCAGGAGATGACCCTACAGCTGTGCACATGCAAAGAGCAGAGGAGCACACAGGCAACATGGGAATCCTCAGGGCCAAGCCCTGTGCAGGCAGAATTTGGTGTACAGTTGAGGGGGGGGAAAGCAGAAGCAGAGCTTGTCCCATGGTGGAGAAAGATGCTCCCTCCTAAGACCAAAGGCAGTGCAGAGCACAACCTGGCATGAAAGCAGAAGGAACAGACCCTATCCATTAGGGTCCATTAGTTCACCAGTCATTCCCATCTCCAGAATCTCATCCCAGCAACCTGCCTCCAAAGCAGCTCAAGGCAGGATGTCACAGGTTTATTATTAACAGCAGAGATGAACATGCGACCAAAGAGTCACTTCAGAGATGCTGGCATTGTGGTGAT